TTCCATGGTCTACTTTTCTGTATCTAAGGGACTGGCCTTTGGACCCAGGGTCTTGCCACCTCTAGAGAGCTGGTTAGAATAAGTCACAGAAAGGATGCTTCTAGATTGTATTGAATCAGAACATATATTTTAGTGGGCATCCGCAGCTACGGTTGTAAATTAACCAACCATGATTGTTAATTGTAAACTAACAGTTAACACTGAAGAAGTAAATTTGTAATTCACCTTTAATGTTCCATCTGAAATATATAATTTATGATGGGAATCCAGCATTAAAATGTATATCATTCTTATGTAGAAGCCTTGATTTTAGTTCCTCTAGTCCCTAAAAACAGTACACATGCTAAATATGAGGATATCATGCCATACTATTTCCACAGTTAGAAAAGGCGTTAGAGAATATGGCAGTGTGGAAAAGCTTCTTTAGAATAGTTAAGATCACTCCCTATGTCAGAAAATGCCTCCCAATCTCTTTGATCTCCTTGATTCAAGGAAAGCAATCTGCTGTGCACACATGGTTAAACCGTTGGTCATTGCAGGGGATTTTGACATTTAGTGATGTGGCTGTGAACTTGTTACATGAGGAGAGGGAATTCCTCCATCCTGCTCAGAGCAGTTTGCACATACACCTGACGGTGAAGAATTACAGCTTCCTTGTTTTTATTGGTGCGAATATTTTTCTTTTGGAATTTCTTACTCATACTCAGAGTTCCTTGGGAACTACTGTGCATGTGTTAACTTTGTGTGAATGACTGTCACATCTCAGAAAGCAAAATTCTCAGAGAAGAAAAGATACTTTAATGTAATTTTGTCTATTTTCTTTGTTCTTTGGGAGGGCTTATGCTTCTTTCATTTTGTTCCATGTTCAATTCAGAAACTTTATAGCATATAATATTGTCACCTAATCACAAACTTCCATTTCCTACCTGGAATTTGGGCTGAGCTCTAATTAGAGGTGGAACACTGGTTATGCAACCTGAAGAAGCTCTGTAAATATCAGTGCTCTGACAGAATGTTCCAGTGGAGAGTCACTGGTAGAATTCCCTGTTGTGTTCTCTATCTATTGAGCTCAGTACTGTGTTAGAAATCCAGCTCCTTTCTAAAGACTCACATCATGAACCACACTTGGTGTCTTGTGCATTACGTTGTGACCACCTGGGATCCTGAAGGTGATGGTGATGTCCTGAAACACAGTCAAAAGGCAGGTGGTCCTGAGGGTATGCTGCACACTTTGTTAGTGTGGAAAAAGATTTTCATCAATTTTGTGAGACATTGACTCAGACATCCATAAATTAAAATGTACTGTTGTCCGATAGATTCCACTTTTTAATATTAATATTTTTTAAATGTTTTGTTATTTTTATTTCATGTGTATGAGGTGTTGCCTGATGTATGTAAGGGCACCCATATTAGGCGATGTTTATTGAGGTCAGAAGAGGATGTTGGATCCCCTGGAACTGGAGTTACAGATGGTTATTAGCTGCCATGTGGGTGCTGGGATTTGAACCCGGGTCTTCTGCAAGAACAGTTAGTGTTCTTAACCTCTGAGCCATCTCTCCAGCCCCCTTAAGTCAGAGATTTTTTTTTAAAGTTTCTATTCTACTCTCTTTGAAATTCAGATGCACAACCCAAATGTCCCTCAGCCTATGAAGGCATTTTATAAATGTGGTACATTTATAGAATGGAGTTTTACTCAGTAGTAAAAGAAAGGGACATCAAGGAATTTGCAGATAGATGGAACTAGAAATGGCTTAACTAGGTGAAGTAAAACATGTGCCAAGAAACAAGCCACAGGTGTTTTCTCCAGTGGGGCTCCTACCACCAAATCCTGGATATATGGTCAAAGGAAATGAATTCAGTATGGCTACAGATACGTGCGCTCCCTTATGGAAGCACTGGTTGAAGAATAGGGAATCTACTGCAATATCCATTGACAAATGAAAGGTTTACTGGACTGTGATATTTCTAAAGAATACGCCACAATTCCATCATAGAAAAGAGCGGAATCTTCTCATACCGGAGAACAGGATTAATCTAGTGGACACTCTATCAGGTAAAGGAAACTGAACCACAAGGACTACATGATGTCAGCCATAAGAGAAATAGAAAAAGAAGAGATAAATGATAGATGTTGAAGGTTCAATAGCAGTTTGTAGTGAATGGGGACAATGTGGGTAAATAACAGAGACAGTGTCATGGCTTCGTGGCTTGATTAAGTTCTACTGTTCTAGGCCACAACAAGGTAAATAAAATTCTCCAAGTTGCATTTTATATATTAAAATTGTTAGAAAATATCAATTTGGATACACTCACCATAGGAAGGGATAAAATTTTACATGTGGATGTATTACTGACAGACTAGATCAATAGCCAGTATATATGTATAACAAAATATCAAGGAAATGTCATAAATATGTAAAATAAAGTGTCATCAGACGGGTATTACCATGTTGTGCTTGTGTGTATGTAAGTACAGCCGTGTGAACAATGTCTATTGGGCCAGAAGACAGTGTGGGAACCCCTGGAACAGGCGTTAAATACAGTTGTTAGCACCATGTGGGTGCTGCAGACTGAACCCAGGTTCTCTGCAAGAGCAGCCAGGATTCTTGATCCCTGAGCCATCTCCCCAGCTTCAAGAATAGACTTTTAAAACTCACAGTGAACTACTCCCAAAGTTTAGCCTTCAAAAGAAACACTCACTTGTGTCTCCCCCACAGATTCTGTCTATGAAGCTAAGTAGAAGCATCAGTGCTGTTTCAATGAACAGTCGCAGGCAGAAGACAGGCTGGGGGTCAGCTGCCAGTGCTTCTGAGGGAGAGCTTAGTTTAGCCCCTATTCCAAAGACCCTGTTACTCAGCCTTGTTTAGCTTAGGAGGTGAGGCAGCTGCAATCCCATGAATGTAGTAGGAATTCTTGATCTTATTGGCAGAGCGGGTCACTGGAAGGCAGGAAAGCAGAAACTTCTATGGGGTCTCCATGTTGAGCTCTTTCTTCCTGAGAATCTCCTGTGATGGCAGACAGTGAGAATGGGCTGTTTTGTTTTCGTTCATGCTTCTTCCTCTTATGTTGGCAGGTAAAGTGGATTTTCAGTAAACTGAAAGTTTGTTGAAAGAAAGAGAAGATTGTGTAAGATTGGCTGGAAAGGAAACACAGAAGGAAAGAGATGGCTTCTTTTCAGGTAAATTCATCCAAGGACATGGATCATGTACTCTTTCTTTCTCTAACTATTTGGTATTTTGAACTTGTATCCTCTTATGATCCAGAAACTAGCTATGTAGACCAGGCTAGCCTGGGTATCATAGAGACCCTTGTGCCTCTTCCCCTGGAGTCCTGGGAATAAAGCCTGTGCCACCATGTCCGGGCCACTCTTTTCATGTGTATCACCTATGTAGCTTATCCACCTCTCCATTTTGTCTTCCAGTGCTCATTTTTACCAGACTAGTCCAATGAATTCATGACCAACCATCTCAAAAATGTTTCTGATGTGATAGGCAAAAATTAAAACATGTCAGTCTTCAGTTCCTAAGGAGGATGGACTTGGGTTCTCATATGCTACTGAACTTGAACTGTTGTTTGAACTGTACATAAAACTGGTATTTTTATTTTATTGTATTCTGGTATTATATTAATTTGCTCAACATTTAATCCCACCAACATCACAGGCCTGATGGAATGTGCTTTTGAGTTTGTTGACACTTGTGCTCTTTTGTCTCCTGGGAGTTGATTCCCTTGGTTGAGGTGCTCTGCACCAAATCCCAAACTTTGACATCACTGTATTGAAATTCTTAGAAATAAGTTTTCTTCTGGTAGTAAACAGAATGAAGCAACGAATCATGACATTTAATGCAGAATCTCTCCTTTCATCACTGGTAATTTTCTTCCTTTCTTAGGAGAAACAAACCATACTCATTTTTTTGCGAAATACTGAGTTCTCCAGGTGGAAATTCTGAAGCAGGCCTCTTCCTCTCTGTTGGCATTTCTACTTTACACTCAATCATAGCACTGCCTCTATTACTGGTTCTTTGTACCTCAGAAAAGAGTTCTGTTTATTAAATGTTACACACATGTAGTTGACTGATTTTGGAACCTTTTGTATGTGTGGCATCAACATTGTTCAGTCAGTGTTGACTCTTGTCTTGATTAGTCTTAGGTGAGGAGCCCAGTTCTTAAATTTTCTTACTGTGGTGTGCATAAGTAGGCCAGTGTGTTCCTTCTGGGTAAATTTTAGGTAGGTAAATGAGGATTAAAAAAAGAAAGTACTATAAAAGTATTGTTAGAATAATTATGCACTGATGTTTCTGTGCTTTCTCCTTTACAAGCAGGGTATAGGATTTACTTGACAAGGATTGTGTCTTCTAACTGTAAAGGGAGAGCACACATAGTTTTTTATCTTCCATATTCTACTCAATGCTATTGGAGAAAGGGTCACTGGCCTCACTGCAAAATCTGTTAGGAAAGGGTTAAGTCAGGCCCAGCCACAGATCGTGTTAAGGTTAAAAATATATGTTTTAGCTAGGACTCCAGTGCATGGTTATAAACAGACACCAGGTTGAATTCATGAAACAGATTTATAAATCAGTGTAACTTTACATCAGATAAATATATTCAACTGATCTTGTATGCTACAAATATAGGTGGGAAATGGTATTCCTATGTTGAGGTCTTAATTACTGTGCCATGCTCCTTAACATCATAATCTTCACAAAAATTTGGAGGACCTGATGCTATTCCTTTTTACACAGAGTTAGCAAGTAGATTATACACAATTATTACATTAACAAATGTCCTTTTTTGAATAATTCAGATTTCTCATCTAATTCGGAAGTCATTTACTAATTATCTCTTTATTTCTTGGGTCCAGTACCCTGTTTAAGTGCACATGGTCTAATTGTCATTTTTCATTTTAGGATCCATTGACATTCAAGGATGTGTCCATAGACTTCTCCCAGGAGGAATGGGAATGCCTAGACTCTGCTCAGAGGGCTTTGTACAAGGAGGTGATGTTGGAGAACTACAGCAATCTGGTGTTTATAGGTGAGGAGAATTTTCTATCAGAATTTTTTACTATCTCCATCCTTTGATGGATAACAGTCTACTTTGTACATATGTTAGTTTTCCTCTGTAAGTCTTGGATTCCTTAAAAAATAGTGTATTGTGAATGTCTGGGCATCATGAAGAACATGTTTACATTCTACCATTACTGTCCATATCCACTTGTTAGAGAAATTATTATTTTATTATTATTCATTGGTTTTGGACTTAATTTTAGCCACCCATTTGTACATGATACTATAGCCAGAATCTTAAGGTTCCATTTCCATAGCTGCATTTTGAATCGGTGCTAGAACTCAGCATATGAAAACTGAAAAAATTCCTCTGTATTCTGTGTCTGTCCTAAAATAAAAATTGAGAAATTATTTAGAGAGCCATCTCTTTTTCTCTATATTTCCAGTAGAGCACAGTGCTGTGTTAGAAATCCCATACTTTCTAAAGAATCCAGCAAGTGCATGTGCCTTTCTCATACACAGGTCTTGCTGTGTGTAAGCCTGTTCTGGTCTCCTGTCTGGAAGAAAGCAAAGAGCCCTGGAATGTGAGGAGAAGGGAGACTGTAGCCAACCAGGTAGGTTTAAGGGGATGAAGGAGGGGCCCAAGTGCAAAGACCTAAGTAAAGAGGGATAAAGACATGAAAATGGTTTTGCCATAGTATGTTTCACTAGAAAGGGATTCTGATAATTTAATTTATAGTAGTTTCATCAAGATTTGTCCTGTGATAAATGTCAAATGATTTCTTTTATTGCACATGAATTATGTGGCAATTATTAATATGTAAATATCACCTGATTTAATTATTTTTCTTTATCGCCCATGTCACATTTCTTGCCAATGCAAGCTAATAGGTTATTTTTTCCCCCTATGAGTTCTTCCTGTACTACATTTTTTGAATGTGTATTATTGTGAATTTCATTTAAAAAAATCTCAATCATCCCTCTACCCCCTACTCAATCTCCGCCCCCCACCAGATTTCATGTATTCTGTGATATATATTAAAGTCTATAGGCTCAAGTTTTTAACATGTCATGAAATTTGTAAATTTTGTGTCTTTCGTTTTATTCTTCCTTTGAAAATGTTCGGGCCCTTCTGATACCTTATGATTTTTCATTGTTTTACAATTATTTATGTATTTCTTCAGAAAATGATTGTAAGACTTTGATGAGAATCACAGACTATTTATATAGCATGAAATCCTATATTTTCTTCCCATTTTAAATAAGAATGTGTTAAATATGTGTGACTGTCTACATAGCATTTGAGGGTTCCTCTGTTTTATACGTATTGTTGATGTCTATGTTCCAGTTTGGTCAGAAAAGAGATTGTGAAACATTGATCTTGTATAATATTTAAGACGTAGTTCTGAATGTGTTCTTTGATTTGGTTAATTTGTACATCTTCCTCTTGTGTGCATGTGAGTCAGTCTAGTCTTTGGGATGCATGCTTTCTCATTCTGCTTATACGCTTGTTCATTCATGATCTTTCTGACTTCAGTATTCATCACAGAGAGGACACAGTTCACAGAGCCATTGTTTGGAGGATCTATCATGTTCAGGCACCTTTCTACTCTCTATAATTCTTGTCAGCCATGCAATGAGATTTCTTATGTTATGACCTTCCATCTCATGGTTCAGTCTTGCCATTGTCTGTTCGTTTCTGACCCCCATGGATACTGGACTGAAACTTCTAAAGATGGAGCCAAAGTATAATGTTTTATCTGCTGAATAATTTTTCTCAGTTGTAGATCAGATGAAAAAGATCCACAATGGACTGTGTGGGAAATGGACTGTATATGAGGGAAAATAGATAAAATTCAGTTTCAACTTTGAAATAAGCTAGAAAAGATAGAGAATACCTGAGTTGCCCTGTGTGGTGGCACATGCCTTTAATCTCAGCACTTGAGAGGCAGAGGGAGGTGGATCTCTGTGAGTTCAAGGCCAGCCTGGTCTACCTAGTGAGTTCTAGGACAGCTGGGGCTATGGGGAGACCCTGTCTCAAAAAGACAAAAAAAAAAGTGATTGCCTTAGTTATCACTATACTTTCTCCTTGGAAAATAACAAGAGCAAGGATGTAATGTGCCCTGATCAAAGAATGCTAATAATGTGAAGGAATGTGCATGTTCACTACATAGCATGAGTCATGTAGAGTGTGTCTACTCTTCAAAAATCACCATGCAAATCACAAATTCATAGCACATTTTACAAAATAAATATTATAATCCAAGTGTCAACTTTCATTAACTAGGGACTCTTCTAACCTCAGGAAATGTGACATGAGAGAATGAGGGAAAATGAACTAACCTAATCTTTCCTCAGGTATTTGCTACTCTGTGTTTGTGACTGGGTTTGTGACTGTGTTCTTCCTATAGAAGATTTTATGTCATTATGTTTGAGAACTCATAATCTTGCCTCCTGACTCTTTTTAAAATTTTTTTTGTTTATTTTTATGTTATGTGTATGTGCTAGATAGCTTTAGTGTCAAGTTGACAACCTGGGTTGAGGGAGCCTCAATTGTGGAATTGCCTCTATTGGACTGGCTTGTGGCCATGTCTGTGGGGCATCTCCTTGATTACTGAGTGATGTGGGATGGTCCAGCCCACTGTGGGTGATACCACCCCTGGGCAGGTGGGCCTGTGTTGTATAAGAAACCAGGTTGAGCAGGTGCTAGGGGAGCAAGCCAGGAAGCAGTGTTCCTCCATGGCCTGTGCTCCAGCCCCTACCTCCAGGTTTCTGCCTGAGTTCCTACCTTGGCTCCCTGATGAAATGTGACTCAGGAGATATGAGATAAAATAAATCTTTCCTCCCCAAGTTGGTATTGGTCAAAGTGTTTTGTCACAGTAATGGAAAAACAAACTAGAACTGAAATTCATACCAGAGAGTGGGGCATTGATGTGACAGTCCTGACCTTGGTATTTTAGGAGGATTATGGAAGCATTTGGAACTTTGGGCTGGAAAAGCCATTGAGTGCTCAGAGTTTGTTGCTGTGAAGCTTGGAACAGTTATGCTGAAAGCATTGTAGACAGTGGAGGCCTGGCTTGTGAAGCTTCGAAGGGAAGTAGAGACTATCAGGGCTGTTCATGTGATCTCTTGAATTGAGAACCTGTGGTTTCTGGTTGGCTGGGCCCAAAGAGTCAGCTGTGAGTAAGAGACCAGAGCCACTGAAGTTAAACCTTTGTTTTACTGGTATAATTGATACTGGATAGCTGGGGCTGAAAAATAAGCTGTAAATAAAAAGAGACCAGCATCACTTTGGCAAAATCTTCTGGAAAGTCTTTCCTCGGGGTCAGCACAGAAGCTATGATCCACAGGGGGCCCAAGACTGCATCTCAAGGTGGAATCAGGACTTGGTAATCTATAAGCATCTTGTATGTGGTTCTGGTATTGAAAGCATGAAGGGATCACAGAGAGCAGCTGAGACTTGGCACCCTGAGAGTCCAGGAAAAGCCATTGGTGAAAGTGCAGCCTCAGTTTCAGTGACGACCCCAGAATTGAAGGGGTCGTGGAGAGAATCTGAGGCTTTGCAACTCAAGAGGCCAGAAGAGGCCATTGGTGAGAGTTCGGCCTCCATTTCAGTGGAGACACCAGCTATTCAGAGATGCCACGATGACCACCAAGGTTTGCACTAGCTGTGGAATGGAGCCGGTCTGGGTCTGTAAGATGAGCTGTGTATGCTGTGGACAGCAGAGTCAGAGAAGTGAAACTGCCAAAACGGTTTGGAGCCCAGAAGATCGTGAGCAAATCTCAGATGTCCAGGCTTGAGCTACTTTCCTGGACTTTGGTTTTACTTAGATATGCCTGATTCTTCCCTTTTGAAATAAGACAGTGCTTGTTTTAGATTTTACAGGAGCCCACCGTTAAGAGACTTTTAAGAGGGACTGTCATGCAAATGAAATTTGCTCAGTAAACAAGCATTTCCACAGTCTTCCATTTCTTTTCTAGTTTATTTATAGTTTCTTCCACTATTACTTAAAGATACATGATCATTTTTTAATTTTTTATTTTTTTGGAATCAGCCAAATTTATTTAGCTTGCAAGGGACTGCAATATCTGAGCCAATTTAGACAATGCTGCACTAACTGGGAGGGCATGGCATCTTTTAATAGTTAAGTCCAAAAGGTAAAGTCCTTGGTATAAGCTTTACTCAAAGATAAGCAGTCACATGTTTATTCCTGTAGGTTGGCAAACAAGCAGTTCAATCAATTTTTAAAAACTTTTTTAGATGATGCTGGCTTTGCAGCCCATAATGTGGTCTTTTCTAGAATAATTTCTATGGAAATCTGAAAATTTTTCATTCTTACTTCCTCTGAGTAACAATCTGTGGATATCATTGAGATCCTGTTCTTCTAGGAAATAATTCAGATCTTGAGGGTTTTCTTCCCCCAAATATTTGGAAAATCTACCTAGAGTTTAAGGTGGTGGGTTCACTGTTATAATATCAGAATCGATTTTAAGCTTTTCTTCTACATGGTTTTTGTATTATAAAATTAGGAATCATAACATTAAGTGTAAAAATATGTACAATTGTTCTGTATAAAAATTTCTTTCTACTAATATGTATTGATCATTTAATCTCTTATACCTACATTTACCTACAGTCTGCTTTATGATACATGGGAATTGATATTCCACTGAGTTTATATATTCTTTTAGCTGGTCGTTTGTTTGCCATAATTAATTCTAGGTTTCTAGATGTCATTGTCAGTGAAGTGTGTTTCTTGGACAGAAGAGATACTTGAATCTGACCTTGAACCCACTCTTCTTGACTATCTTTTAATTAGTGATCTGCAGCTGTTTTCCTTTAATATTATTGTGAGAAGATTTTTTTTATTCAATATCATTTTTCTTGTGTTCTGGCTTTTAGAATCATTGATTAGTATTAATCTTTATTAGTATTAATATTGGCCTTTGTTTTTTGTGTTGCTAATGGTGGATTCTTTCTGGAACATGGTGCATTCATCAATTACTCTTTACACTTCTACCCTGACTTCTGTTCCCATGAATGAGAGTGCCTTTCTCTTCTGTGTATCCTGTTTGCTTCCATAAATTCTAAAGTGATGGCTTGCTTGCCCTGAATTGGTGCATTTCTTCAAATGACCTTCTTCCTCCATCAATTTTAAGAGATACCTTTTCTAGAAGTCAATTTTAGTTAATATGTTCACTTTCCATATGGTAAGTGTATTTTTACATTATTTCATGTTGTTTTGCCTCTGTTCTTTCTTGACAAGGGATCTGATATAATTACAAATTTCCTGCCTTTGTAATGAGTTGGTATTTTTCCCTAACAGGATTATTGTTGGGTTTTGGGGGGGTTGTTTTTTATGGGGTTTTTTTGCTTACTATTTTCTCATGTTGCCTACAGTTTGTAATGTAGAGCTCTGTTGATACTTATTTCAACTTTCTGAATGACTCTCTTGTATGTCCATGTGCTTCTGTCCTTTTCGTATATTTTCTAATTTATTTTTACTGAATAAATTTTCTCACTTTTGTTTTGATTTCCTCTCCCTCTTTTACTTCATAGAATTTTATGTTTGTTTGTTTGAATGTTTCTCAATGTTTAAAATTTTATTCATGC